TATATATATATATATAAGAAAAATCACAACAAAAGAAAGAAAATGAGGCTATATATGTCATAAAAAATGTAAAAAAATATATTAATTTCACATGAATACAAACAAGAACAATCGTGAGAAACAGAACTGCAATGAACCACAATTATGTTTTAAATAAAGTAATAAGTAGTAAGTAAAAAATAAAGTGCCCCAAAACAAGATTAATTAACAACAGAGATGAAAAATCACCACAAGACTTTAAAACTTTGCAAAATAAATCTTCATATGTGCTGCAGACAATGGCAACTCTTCAAAATGGTTTGAACTGTTTCGAATTAATTAACGTTCAAGTTTCTTTTTGTAGTTCAACTTCTAGAACAAACTAAATCACAAACCAATTTGCCATTTTCTTTTGATAAATGTTTTAACCAGCAGATTTACACATTTGTGTCATTCAACGCTGTGTGTTCTACTGCAACATCTGTCAGAATTTTTTTTTATTTCAGTACCTGCAAAAAAAATAATCAAATGGCTTAAAATATGGTGACACATTTTTAAAAATTAGAAGTTTTTCATTTTCACCAAACAGCTCAGTGGTTGTTTTTGGCATTGAACAGCAACTCCCAATTTAGCTGTCTTTATATTTAAAACTTCTAACGTGTCCTTGACTAAAAGGAAGCAGACAAAACAAAGTGCAGCCATCTGCTGTGACCAGTTGATGAGAGAGCACGAGAAGAGAGACCAGAAGAGCTTTGAGCAATAAACTAAAAATACACACCGGGCAGGATGGTCGCATCATGAGCAGGTCAGATGTTTGCAGCTCAGGAGGCAGAAATATCTGCAATAAGTGAACAGACAGCAGCTTTTATTAAAGAGGAGCTCCAGTGTTGTCCGCCCAACTAAACCTGGAGTTAAAGATGTTTTTATTCTGACAATATTGCACAAGTAAAAAAAAAAAAAAGCAAGGTACCAAAAAAAAAAGCACACCCCCCCCCCCCTTTTTCCACAAAAAAATACAAACAAAAAAAAAAAAAAAAACACAGAACCAAAAAAAAACCCCCCCCCCCCCCATTTTTTTAAATGTTCATTCAAAAAAAAAAAAAAAAAAAGCAAATTTACTGCAATATGCATTTCTAACATTGGGGATACAATAGGCTGCCTTTAATAGTAAGACCAAAAAAAAACGAAGAATCGTGATTACGTTCCCTGCTTTTCTCCAAGCCTTTGATGAAAGTGCAAATACTGTATTTTTCGCTGTATATTTCACAATTTGTTGCATAAATTAGCATGTCTGCAACTTGTACAGCAACCCCCCCCAATATTTATAACCCAATTTCTGGCTGAGATCTGATAATTTCATTCATTCTGACATGGAAAATATTGAGAACTACCATTTTCAGCCACTAGAGAGCCCTCGACTAGTATGGCAAGCCAAGTGTCTCATTAATAGGTAAAAGTGGTTATTAATGAGACATTAATTTGCCATACAAAGCCACCTTCGTCTCGCTCCAGAAATCCTGCAGCAAACATCAAATCAGCTGCATTTTGCCGCGCTGCCCAGGTGAACTACAGCTGATTTGACCGTCAAAGTTCATTTATTAAGGAAAAGTTAGACTGAGACACAACTTTACTGTAATTTCAAGCAGACAAATAATTGGCTTTAAGTGTTAATTTTGTTAAATTCTTGTTAAAGTCCTCCCACGCACGCTCCCGCGTCCACCATTTGGCAGCCAATCGATTTTTGGCACAACACCGGTCCACATTTCTGGGTTGTCAGCGGTGACGCACAAGAGATGTGACTTAAACGGTAAAGCGACGTATTTATGGGGGTTTTTTTTTCACTTTATTAAAACATATTTGGACCGGTGCAACCTGTACGGTGGCAAGTATAGATAAGAATTCTGAATCCTTAACACTTTGTACCAACAATATTTATTGCAGATGGTTTCAAATACAGCACAGGACAATTCTCAAACCAGCAGCACCATAAATGGTAATGAACAGACTGTAACAAAGAAAAGCACACATCATAAACAGTACATCTGTTTTCATCTTCTATAAATTACATCTACACACCAATAAACCATTTACCACAGCCAATACTGTTCAGTATTTCTACAGTTATGTTGATTGAACTTTAAAGCACCAGTCAAGCAGAGCATTCTGTAAAATTATTTACTTCGACCGATTGTGCTTTTGTGCTTTTACTTTTCACCGAACCTGGAGGATGTTCGGCGACAGAGGCAGGATGGATGTTAGCACGAGTGCACATCTGCATTTAAAGCAACTCATCCAATTCACGTTATATAAAAGATTTCTGGAACAGATATTAAAATTTAAAAAAATCTTTTGTTTTTGAAAAACCTTTGATTTATGGTTAAACACACAAACACTTTAAAACCACACAGGCTTTAACTGGAAAGAGCTTTAAACCATTAAAGCTTCATCGTGAAATTGCACCTAAAGTTGTGTTGCTGGTGGGTAGAGAAGACGAAATCCATTTACAGAAAACACGCTCCGATCTCTGCGGTACTTCCTTTTAAGACCAAGGCTGCAGAAGACAAAAGGCTCGTGGTAAATATTTGGCTTCCACCAAACACAGATTTACCTTCACAGTCACACAAATGAGAAAAAGTAAAATGTACTTTTCATTTAAGGCATCAGTGATTCTTTCTAAAACAGACGCTGGGTCAGTTTTCCATAAATCTGGTCTAAGCTCAGATTATTAAAAGGCATGTGGCCACAGAGAACTTCAGGTGATTATGTTGTTGACTAGCAGTTTATTAACGATGATTTCTGCGATAAACCATAGTAGTTTCAAGTAGTGGCTTGTTGTCTGCGCTGTCCTCACGCCACCCTCTGGAGGATGTACAGGATGCCAATGTTGTCGATGGTGACGAAGGTGGAGAAGTCGTTGGAAACGTGGATTTTCTTCAGAGAGCTCCCTGTTGGGTAGAACGTCTGGAGGGTTTCACCTTTCACCACGTTCCACCACTGCGAAGAAGACGGAGAGAGAAATGGTTCAAACATTTTCAAATTCGGGCCGATGGATTTTCTTAACATTCTTCAGCTTTTCAGACTCGCACGTCGTTTGAAATATCCAGCGTCAGTAAAGATATTCAAGAAGTTTATTCCAGTTAGAATAAACGTTTCCAGTCTCCGTGAAGGACGTTAAGCGAGACCTTCTTTTCAGTTCTTGGACTTGGTCGTCAAGCACTTTTGTGTTTGAGGCAACCACAGCTTGGTTTACGATGGGTTAAATCAGCGGAACATAAAAAACTCAAAGCAAGAGCTTTAGGAAAGCTGCACCAAGAAACACGATGAATTCATAAATTTACAGAAAACGCACGCAACAAATCCACATCATCTCTCCTTAGCAATTCAGTTTAATCTCAGTTTGAAGCTGACATTTCCCAAAGAGGGTGCGTCTCTCTGGGACAAATCATCAAAGGCTCATCAAGTCAATCATTTAGAGCTTGGCTGTGTGTGTGTGTGTGTATATATATATATATATATATATATAAATATATATATATATATATATATATATATATATAAGCACATCAGATTGAGACACTGTACTTCTTCCAGCTAAATAAGAGACAAGATGAGTCTGTTTGATATGATTATTTCAGATGTTGCTCTCATAAAAGCTTTAGTTACAGTGTGTGTGTGTGTGGGGGGGGGGGGGTAAAAAAGCAGGTCAGTCCCTCAGTTTTTACATGCAGTGAAAAATCAACAAAGTCAACAGATGTCTGGATTATAGACACACACACACACACACAACTACAAGAGATTTTCGTTTGTATATTTGCCATCATGGCCTCAAGGCAACGTTTTAGAGACCTTCAGAGATGAAATCCTGTGCAAAAGTCTTGATCAAACCATATGAAACAAGTGGCAGAAATAAGAAGGTTAGTTTTATTATGTCAGGAGTGAAAGAAAAAGGTTTATTAAAAAGAAAGCTGATGAAAAATAGTTAATCTAATGAGATGGTCCTGCTTGAAACAAGACGTTAACAGTCTAATCATATATATATATTTGTTATATAGATTTTTTAATTCTCCATTTGTACACATCATTTTTGATTGTCTATTGTTGTCTTTGTTGTCCACTGTTGTCATCACTCTGTTAAAATCAGGTCTCTCTTGCAAACGAGTCCCTGAAGCTCAATGGGATTAACCTGTATAAATAAAGGCTGAATGAATAGAATATACCAGTATATAATAATTAGGGATGCACGATATTGGATTTTTGGCCGATATCCGATATGTTAAAACTTATTTGGCCAATAACCAATACATGTATTTTTATATACTTTCCTTTGGCAGAACATAGCCCTCTTATTTATTCTTATTTGCTACAAAAAATGTGTAACAGCTGTAAGAGCTGGTGACATATATTCAGTAACAGCCATATGCAAATCACAAACTTATATTAAATGATAATATTATTTATTAGCATTAGTTGTCTGCGATGCTGTCTCACTTGTGGAGGCTTGTTCCAGGTTCCTAGCTGCAGTGTGGGATCCTCTGCACTCTTGTGCATGAAGGACAGCCTTTTTAAGTTCGAAGTTTTTGTCTATCCATTGTGCCGTAAGACTAATCTTGCTAACGGGGCTAACACAACGTCCAAATGTCTGTGGTAAAACTCATCCAAGTGCTATCAGCTATTAGCTTCTCAATGACGTCAGAAATTACGGCTTGTAACTCGTGTAACTAATATCGGCCGATACCGATACCAGGCCGATAATATCATGCATCTGTAATAATAATTGTACAATAGCTGGACAACAAACAGTCATGTGACTTACAAAAAAAACATTTGTTTTGTCCTCGTGATTTACTTTCCCTGACTGAACAAAATGTAAAAACATTAATAATTATTATTATTGCTCCCTGCTGCACTGAAGAGTTGCATCTATCAGTGCAGATTCACAGATTTTATTTCCAGTGTGTTTGTTTTGCATTTTTTGCCCAGATTTAAGCAATTTTACTGGTAATTGGCTCAAAGTTATTTTAGCTTAGTAAAAAAAAAAACCTCATTGTCATTGTTTATATAAAGATCTTTTTTTCTTCTGAACAATTTGGTCCTAATTAACTGTAAGACTCGTGATAGCACCCAAGAAAGTTGGTATCAAACCTCTGCGGCGGTTTCGATAGAAGCTGAACCAAGTTTATGTTATATAAAAATGTAGGGCAAGGCAAGAGTTGAATAATTAAAACTTATTTTTGTCCATACACATCAGATGTGAAAATTCTTCCCTTGTAAGTGTTTAAAAGCTGTAAGAGTCAAAGGCCTGCTGACCTCCAGTCATTAATAATTCACTGAGCAGAAAGAAATTATGCTTTTTCGCTCCATTCCTAACATTTTCTAGCCTTCAACCTACATCACTAAGAGTGACTGTACTTTTTTTTTCATCATGCAATATTAAACATACATTAGTGCAATAAATCAATGTATATTCAAGACTGTTTGGGATAAATGCATTTAATTCACACCCACCACTGCAGGTCTTTAATGTTTACATCCACCGGGTGAATTTGAGTGATATTTACTTGAACATCAAAGTGCTGCTTAAAGCCTAACGGGATTACATGTGACAGCTAATTAAACTAAATTATTTTATATTTTTGCACGGTTCTTAAATTAGATATGTACAATCCTTGGGAGTCACATGACGAGGGGAAAAAAAGATTTTGAAAGATGTGAAGCAGAAACATACAAAGAACAGTTATGTGAGCTGAGGCAGCAGTATACGTATATAAAAAATATAAATGCATTTGCAACAACAGATTGGGGTCCACTCTGCTCTGTTCTGGATTCAGTCATGTAAACTTCAAAGCTGGAATTTAAACCTATTTAAAGTTCAATTTAAACTATGTCCCAGGTTTGGCAGCTCTAAAAATGTTTCACCTTATTAATAAACTTGAAGATGATGGGCCAAATAGTCACGTTACCACTCTGATTAAAAAAAATTCTCAACTAAACAAACAGTTTTATTAAGAAGGTTCGTGAAGGTCATCCTGACCTGTATTTATTCCAATCCAATCTTTCCCAATTCTTTAAAACTAAGATGTAAAATCCACATGGGGCTTTTTCACAGATGCTAATGACTCGCTCTGCAAGTTTAACCAAGATGCATTTAAGGTCAACAAAGACAAAATCAGCATGAACACATCTGGATGAATTTAAGCTTCATACACAAAACATTAAAAGAAACAAAGAAGCTAATAAAGACAGACTACAACAAACAACTAGGCAACTACAACTAGGCTGAAGCGGCATATTTATGGATTTTTTCCCATATTTATAAACCAATTTTTAGTTGAGATATGACCGTTTTCATTCATTCTGACCAATTTTTTTAAGCAGTACCACTTTCAGCCACTTGATGGCAGCAGAGTAGTAGTAGCAGTATGGCATGCCATTATATAATGTAATAGGTAAACGTGGCTATAATGACAAATTCAAAAAAGTTCAAGACAAAAACAACTGGACTTTATTTATTATACTTGATACATTATTGTTTATATCTTGAACTTCTTTGAATTTACCATGTCCTGATGACCGAGAAACTTCACCAGCTGTTAATGATACAATCAGCTTGCCATAGGCTCTCCAGCTGGGTTCTGCTCGCTGCGTGGACCAACCGTCAATCCAGCTGCACCACCCCGGCGAAATGCAGCAGATTTGACCATTAAAGGGCATTTATTAAGCCAACGATAGACTGAGACACACCGTTGCTATAATTTCGAGCAAACAAATAATTGTTTAGGTGTTTATTTTGTTAAATTTGTACAGCGACTCGTCGCGTGCAGGCACGCATTTACTTCCACGTATCAGCTTTTGAAATACAGCTGATTTGACCATCAAAGTGCATTTATTAAGCAAACGTTAGATACAGACACATTTACTAGAATTTCGAGCAAACAAATTTGTTTTTAAGTGTTAATCTTGTTAAATTCTTGTTAAAGTCCTCCCTTGCACGATCCCGCTACCTCCATTTGGCAACCCATCAATTTTTGCCACAACACCAGCCCACATTTCCGGACTGTCAGCGGTGACGCATAATAGATACGATGTATACAGCAAAGCAATATATTCATGTATTTTTCCACTTTATTAGATAAATATGGAATGATGCAACTTATAGGGAGGTGCGACGTGTACGGCGGAAAATACGGTATACAAATCGTTTCTGCTTTTACTGGTTCATGTCAGTATGAATGAACATTTGAAGCGTCAGTCAAAAACTGCATTAGGAATATGGGAAAAAAGACATACAGTATATAAGTTGCATGACTGGCAAATCCATGCAAAAACACTGAAAGTTAAACGCCGGAAAATACGGTAACTAAATAAAACCTGATGTTTATTTTCTTCCTTAAAAATAAAACCAATGTGACTGAAAAGGGAAAAACAGATGAAACAAAGATGGGATCAGTTTGGTTGGTGGGGGGGTAAATACTACATGATAAGAAAAAAGAATGAAATACTTGGTTAAGATGAACATGCAGCTGCACAGGTTTGATTTGTTAGCAACCAAAAGCAATGACCGCTCAAACAAAAGAATAATACTCATATTCCTGCTGCAAATAAAATGTAAGAATCTACGCAGAAATAAACCACACACAGTCTAAAAGCAGGCAAGAGAGGAACCAACTAGAACAAGACTGAAGTCCACAAGCAGCTGCAACAAATGAATCACGTAGCTCTGTCAAAAAATAGCAATAAAAGCTCTCCATCACACCCTCCAGCTGGTTATATAAAAAAGGAAGAACACATAAAAGTTAAATAAATGTTTAACACTTTTGGGTGGCTCAGTGGTAGACTGAATGGAGACGTGGACAAACTGTATGAAAATGATGTTTTCAGAGTGGAACGGGTTTCATTAGATTAAACAAAGAGCAGCAAATCACTGATGAATCATTATACAAAGATGGTAGAACATGAGTAGAGGGGCATGCATAGTTTATGCACTTGTATTGGAA